ACCCACTAAACCACAGATGCCACCCAACTTTTTTTTTTTCTGAGACAGAGTCTTGATGTGTGGTCGAGCTAGAGTACAGTGGTGCCATCATAGCTCACTACTTTTCAGTTTGTGGCTGGGGCTGGGTTTGAACCCACCACCTCCGGCATATATGGGGCCGGCGCCCTACTCCTTTGAGCCACAGATGCCACCCAACTTTCTAGTCTTAAACTAACAAATGGAGTATGCCCCCAAAGTTCTTTTAATTATCTCCTTGTAGTTTGAGCATTTTTACTCATAGGAATAATGTTATAAGTGGTCATTAGATTTGCAGGCTAGCCCCCTAATGTAGGGAGATGGGTTCTGATGGTCTTCATCTAAGTTCTGATTTCTGGAGCATGACAAGAAGGAGAAAGAGAGGGAAGAAGAAAGTGAGAGAAGAAATATGGGAAGTGGTGGAGTGGGGCAAAGGTAAAAGACCCAAAGAAAGAGGGAAGAAAAGGCAAGTGAAGGGCTAGACGAGAAGAACTTTCCCTGGGGTTAGGCCTTGCTCTAAGCAAAATTTTGAGCTACATATAATTTTTTTATTGCATTTTTAAAATTATTTATTTTTTTAAAATTTATTTATTTATTTGCAGTTTTTGGCTGGGTCTGGGTTTGGACCCGCCATGCTTGGTATATGGGGCTGGCGCCCTACTCCTTGAGCCACAGGTACTGCCCTGATTACTTATTTTTTTGAGACAGAGTCTCATTCTGTTGCTCCAGGCTAGAGTGCCATGGCATTAGCCTAGCCCACAGCAACCTCAACCTCCTGAGTTCAAGCGATCCACCCGCCTCAGCCTCCCAGAGTGCTAGGATTACAGGCCTGAGCCACTTTCTCTACTTCTATGAAATTTCTCTGTAAAGACCTGGCTTTTAGCTGGCTCACAAGACATATCACTGGACTGAATCAAGTTGGGTATTTCAGTATCTTTTAAATTTGTTTTTCAAAAGGGCTCACACGGTTGAGCACAGAGCAGAAAGAGGTGACTATTTGTATATGTGCCTCTGTTGCCAATCACAAGAAGAAGGGTGTGGCTGTGTGTGGGGACACCTAGCTCATGGCCTTATTTCCACATCCCTTGTTCAAATTATGGGTGGTTTGCCAAAGTGCTTACCCAGCTGAATACAGTTATAATGTTAGTAAATAAACGTAACAACATAACTTTGGTTGCTTGGCATTGGGAAGGTTTTAAAGTAAGAAAAATCAGGAAAGTTGTTGGCAATGCTGGCCACGTTTTCAATACTATACGCTCTTAAGGATGAGTCCCTGTTGAAAAGAGCCATATCTAAGAACGTGACATACATACATGTTTGCCAGCCTTTGCCTAGTGACATGGGCTGGAGTTTGGAGTCACTGTCTGCACCGCTGTGGACGAGTAAGCTCTGCTCTGGGAAGGGCTGCTTGGCCTCGGTGTTGACACGAAGCCTCTTCAGACCACAGATAGCTAGGTATTCAGTGGGGAGAGTGTTCGTGCTGCACAGGGAAAGCTTCAGGTCCTGGACCAATGTGAAGTTCAACAGGCGGCCCAGCACAGACGTGTCTGTGAACCAGATGGTCAGATGGCCACTGTAGCTGGTTTGTTCAACGGCGAAGGGCAGGACGGTTTTACAGCTGCACATCAGGTTGGCCAAACTGTAGTCACAGTCCCGGATGTCAGCAGAGCAGCTGCAGTTCCGAATGGTGTTTTCCCTTGTGAAGATGAGCGTGCTGTTCCTCTGACCTGCAGCAAAGTGGTTGCCCACAAAGATGCCCAGCGCGCAGATCAGGAGGAGGCAGTGCCCGGGAGGACGCGCCATTCTTGGCCAGAGTGGGCCGCGAAGTGTTCCTGTTTCCACTTGGTGACCCAATTGGTTGGTGCTCAGCTGAAAGAAAACACACAACGTTGTTATCACAGCCTCTATTAGAAATACACAGCTAATGCAAACGAAGCCTAGTAACCGACTGTAAACTTTCCTCTCTTACAGGCCTAATAAAGGCAGGCAGCACTCGAGACTCAGGCAGTAATTCTTTTCTCAGAGCCTCTCCAGGGACAGCAGCCAAACCTCCAAATTCTGCTCCTCGAGGCATAAAACTCCCAGTGAAGTCTGCTGACGTGAGACCAACATGCCCACAAGACAGCCAGTGCAGACACCAGAGAGGGGACCTACTGCGTACAAGTAGGGATTTGGAGTCATTTGAGTGAGGACATCTACCAAATATCCAGTTACTAGTGGTTAGTCCTTGCAACCCCCCTAGACATGCCTGTGCTCCCCTCCCCCTCAATATCTGACTTCCTGGAATTCAGGAGACAAACAGTTCCCTGTTGGATTCAGCTCCCCAGGCACTACCTATTAAACAACATAGCATGAATACCAATGAAACATTTAGTTAATGGTAAACTTGAATTTCTAAGTAAATGAATGTGTCCCTGGCCCCCAATTATATTAATCTACTCATGGGCCCTTTCATCCTTGTTCTGGCCTCCCAAGAATGTACTAGGTAACTGTGTTAATAGATAATGAAAAGACTAATTGTCCACTAATTGATCACAGTTATCTTGACTCATCTACTTCTATGCCAGAACAAATTTTACTTATTGATTTTTGTCAAATAATTTATTATAGGGCTCTTCATCTCCACAGGGGTGGAAAGCAAAAAAGAACCCACTTTGTAGAAGGTGGAGATGCTGGTAACAGGGAAGACCAAATCAATAGGCCTATTAGAAGAATTAACTAAGGTATCTGCGCTGATCATTTTTGTAAACTGGTCAGTTAATAAACAGTGCCTGCTTTAAGAAAGAAAGAAAAAAAGAAAGGAAGGAAGGAAGGAGAAAAATTAGCTGGGCATTGTCGCAGGAGCCTGCAGTCCAGATCCTGGGCTGAGGCTGGAGGACTGCTTAAGCCCAGGAGTTTGAGGTTGCTGTAAGCGAGGTGACGCCATGGCATCTAGCCTGGTGACAGCAGGAAAGGAGACTAGGCAGACATGGTATAGTACGTATGAAAGGAGGCCACAAGATGACAAAATGAGGAGTAAGAAATCCAAGGGAGTCAAAGCTAAAAATGCCAGGGATCAGGGGACAGGGAGGAAGCCCCAGTCTGTCAGCAGGTGTCTGCAATGCAGGGAGGATAAAAATAAGCTCAGCTCAGTGAACTTGAACAGAAAGCAAGATGTCGATTCACAGCAATTGTGACTACAATTCATTCAACAAACGCTTCTTGAGAATTTAGTAGGTAGTACACACAACCAGCTAACACTGGGGATATGGCCCTGAACAAGACAGTTCAGGCCCCGGGCCTCATGGAACTTATGTTCTAATGGACTTGATTCTGTTTCCAATGGGCAGGGGCAACAGAACCCAAGGTCAGGCCAGGCCTTCAGTGAGGACCAAGAGGCTCCAGCAGTGGGGAGGAGGAGGGACAAAGTCAAGAGTCAGGCAGGGTCCAGCATGGGCTATGAGCCAATAGAAGAAATGAAGAGGCTCGGTGCCTGTGGCTCAAGTGGCTAGGGCGCCAGCCATGTACACCCAAGGTGGCGGGTTCGAATCCAGCCTGGGCCCGCCAAACAACAATGACGGCTGCAACCAAAAAATAGCTGGGCGTTGTGGCGGGCGCCTGTGGTCCC